TAGCTGGTCAAAATGACTGCTATTCTTTTTGCATAGAATAACTTCGGTAACACCACAATCCGGTGGGAGCTACCCCGCTCATCTATTCAGAGCGTGTAACACTAGTCATTCCTCTCTGCGCCATCTTGGTGGGTGCTGGATATTACTGAACACAACTGGAATACTCAAGAACACGGAAACCACTGTAGATAAGGCACTTGGACTGATGCTTTTTAAAAGTCTCTGGGTGTCTGTCACGCTCTGATCCTTGCTAACTTCCCAAGGGTTGTGAGCTGTTTTGGTCTTCGTCTTCTTTTCCAATCATATCCAAGGTAACAGCACTTTTTCCCCCTCACCCACGCAGTTCTTCTGTTTCCCCCCTATACTGTTTTAACTTTTTTTATGAGATTTTTTTTGTTCGTTTTTGTAACTGCAAGTAAAGTATCAAAAGCTAAAATAGCCAAAAATAGATTTTTTCTCTTCTCCAGCACCCTGTAAAATTATCTATTTTTCACACAAACACAATGAGGCCCTTCCTTACCTCAAACATACACATTTACAAGTGTGCTCTCCTTCACTGCTTTGTATGCACACACACACACACACACACACACACACACACACAGATCCATATTTTGCAGTTCATTGTCCTTAATTCTACCCGACAATATGCTGTTGTATAATTCAAGGCTGTACCCTGCCACTATAAATAGCATGTGGTAACACTGAAAAAAAAAAAACACACACACACACACCAAAAATAAATTGGCCAAATGTTAAGATGTCAAAATGAAAAAATAAAACAAACTCATTTGGCAATGTGGCTGATGAAACAACTCAACATAGAAGCCAAGTATCATGACAAAATCATGTATATACAGAACTTCAGAGTGCCCTTCCCAATAGCAACGTAGGGCTACTGAGTTGATTGCTGATTTAGTGTTAACTGCCTGCGGTTACCTTCTCAGGAAAAAAATAAAAAATAAAAAAATTAATGAGTTGAACTTGATCTGATTGACTGGCTGTCTATTCCAGCTGAAGGCAGGCACCACAAATTCACACCCTTCCAAACTCTAAAATCACAAGGAGAGCCCTCTGTGACATACATGCATAACTGCAGATATATAATCCATTGGAAAACCCTTTGGCTAAATATGCACACTTAATACTTTTTTTTTGTCTTTTTGATCACAGTTCAGCTAATTTATTGAGATATTTCCTAAATACATCAGGCACTGTAGAAATGAGTGCAGTGTGGATGGGGGCATAGCAATGGTCAGTAGCTAATAAGCACTGCTGCAGTGTCCCCCGAAGCCCCAGCACACCCTACTTTCATTGTAGTATTAATTAAAAAAGCACACATGGACTCATCAGCCCAGTTCTGACCTTCCCATCTTTGTGTTTTGTTTTCCAGAGATAACCACCCGCTTTATTTTGACTGGTCAATAAGAGCAAAGCTAATTAGTCAAACATGAACGACTGAGAAACCAAAAATCAAGTGGAGAAAATGACTCAAAAGCAAAATTAAAACAGCAAACAGCAGGAAAAACAACACAAATCATAAAAAGCTTTTTTTGCAATCATTTCAGCCATGCTTTTTTAAAAAACCAGACAGGAAGCTGTTTGGAGGGGGCACACCCAAAATGTGTCAGCTCATAATCACATCTCAGAGCTCAACAACTGCACTGCATGTGAAAAATGACAAATTAAACACATTAATGTGAGTGTTCATTCTCTTTCCTTCTATTTCTTTTTCTTTTTCAGCGGGTGGGTGTAGAGAGGGTGGGGGCGGG